GCTGGATCAGAGGTTATATAATTCAACACCTCAATTTTTTGCTTGTCAGACATTGTTATATATGGTACAATCCACTCAATTTTTTGAATCGTAATTGAAACATTTTCATCCACAGCGGTAACAACATAAGAATTTTGATCAGTATTTGATCTGATCAGTATCAATTCATGTTTGGCATTCACAATAACTCGTTGATAATCTTCAGCGAATCCAAGGATAAAACTCAGCGGTACTGAGACATCAAAGTAGCCATTAGCATCAGTCAACTTATTATTATCTTCATTAACAATCCAACCAGCATTTTCCAGAATATTTTGTTGTCCAGGACTCAGAGAAGCGTATCCTTTCATAACACTGGTAATATCAACATTCTTACATCTGTCAATTTCTACACCATTCAACTCATAACGTATCTCTTCAAACATATGACAGACAGCCATGTTGATCATCTTTGTAGTAGCACTCACAGCGGTATTATCAGCTTTCCTTATTCTTCCATAAAAATGTAATGTGCTCTTGCTTGGAAGCAAGTACAGATCTTGATGCTGAACAGCAATCCGGATTTCATCACTGTTGTTAAATGTTGATGATGCGTAAGGTAGGTGTGAATGAGCTTCACAGTGCGCGATAGACTCATCAAAAATAATCGATTTTTTTATATCTAAGATTTCCGCCATGGTATCACACAAGCTAGACAACAAAAATTTATTTTTATTTTGTGAATTTTCCACGTAATTTTAGTCCTAAACTTTTTAGGAACTCTGTGTTCTGACGTGTCAACACTTTCAGAACTCGATGATGACTGATAATCTTTGGAAATGTTGTAATCCTTTTATACTCACTACCAGTCTTTGTCTCATATACGATACCCATTACAGACTCTTTATATGCAGTCTTATCGTAATAGTCTCGCCACGAAAATTTGCTATTCTCCCGTCCTGGTCAACAATGCGGAGTCTCACGTTGTGTATTGCTCGTACGGCGACTGGTAGGTAAATGATATTTGTTGGCACCTCCACTATTTTATATCCTGCTGGAACTCTCGGAAAAAATTCATGGATTGTGTGATTCTTCTCACCATTGATGTATGACCCAGTAGTTATATTGCACTCGACTCTTAGAGCATTGATTTTTAATATTTTAACTGGTAAATCAGATTTATGTGCTGTGTTAGGCTCAAGCACGCGGTTGGTAAATCCAAGTAATGATCCAATGGAATCTTCAGGTTCAAAATTTATATACTGATCACATTTTATTTCACTTCTCCTCCTCTTAGCTCATTGTTGTTTGCTTTTAAAGTGAAACTCAGTTCAGGTAATGTCTTGTTTATATAAGTTTCAATATCTTTAATTTCATAACTCCCTGTTGGTATAGTTATTTCTTGAAATCTATTGATTGTACTTCTCTTGGATCTTTTCGATGACACATAGAATTTATTAGCACCATCATCAATATTTGGTATTGAATTGAATGTCAGGAGCTTAACAAGTCCAAGTACATAATTTTTTGTTGGTGATAGCTCAATCGGTGGAAAATAATTTGCCTCCAGTATGGAGGAGTTTCCGGATAGTGTCAAGGTGAATGACTCTGCCATGACTGACGCGTGCAGTCCCAAGTCACTTCAATTTATAGTTGTCCAGTCAGGAATTTAAGGCATAAATGTCCGCATATGATTGTATCAAAGTCTTGATATCTTTTATGATTGTACTTTACGTTACCAACATCGAGATATTTCATCAAGTCTTGTGGGGGTTGTAGATTACCAAAACTGTCAAAATAAATTACTTGATTGTGATTCTTCTTGTAGGCAACCCAGTGAGTTCCAGGTCCAAGTTTATCATCTAAATTTATTATTGCTTATTCGTTTGTCTTTGGTCCAGATTTTGGTAAATCATTTCTCATGAAAACTCCACGAAAATTTGGAATTTTAAGCAGCTTAGCATACTTTAATAAATCGATGTTAGTCAGTGCTCGATGTGGTAGCTCTACTGGTTTTTTGACTTCTTGCAACCCGCTCCCTCTGGGTATGGTTTCAGATAAAGTCCCATACCACTGCGGTAAGGTTTGAGGTATAATCCTCTACCTACAGCTATTTCTTCCATCTTTAAGTTGTGACGTTTCTTTTCAACAAGTTGATTCTTAGCTGCGCTTGCATCGTTCACAGCTTTTGCAACACCTGCAGCTCCCCCTGCTAGAGCACCAACCGCTGATAACCCTGCAAACAGGGGAATCAAGAATGGAAGTACTCCTCCAATCTTTGATGGAACTCGTAGAATACGAGGCAATCGAACATTTCTCTTCCCACCAGCTTTCTTGACAGCCTTGCGAGTGCCTTCAAGAGCTGTTTTAACTGGATCTCCACCTGGCTGCATGGACTTTTTAGCTTCATCAACAACCTGTCTCAAAGCAACATCCTTCTTCTTGGAAGTCTTAGTTGTCTTTCTTTTGGCTGTCTTGGGTTTTATCATCTTACGCTTTGTTGTTTTTCGCTTTGTTGTTTTTCTCTTCGTTGTTTTTCTTTTAACAACTGTTTTACGCTTCGGTGTTTTTCTTTTAATTGTTTTACCCTTAGTAATAGGTTTTTCTTTTTTAATACCGAAACGTCTTTTCAACTTCATGATTTTATTCACACTCCAAGCAGCAGCTTTTTCACTAATAGCAGCGTCTCTTGCTTGAAATCGTTGCCACGCTTTCTCAGCAAGGATTTTATCAGCCTCGTGACGGGCTTCCAAATTTTCACGATTTTTTGAGTAAGCTATATCGTGTTCCTTACACGCAGAGTCCAAAGGATTTATACCTGGATCACTTCGAGCTAACCTCTTGGCTAACTTTGTACCTGGACCACAGTACTGATATCCTGGTATATGAAGTTCAAGTGGGAGCTTGTTGATTATATGATTGACAACACCTTTACCACGTCTGCTCTCAGACATGACACATCAAAGACTAACTTCGTGATCTATATAAGCCTGTATTTATACCTATGAGTCTCAGAATTAATTGAGCAGTCATGGAGTTTAAAAAACCAAGAGCTCAGTTACCAGTTATCAACTTTGATCAAATTGTTCAAGGGACAGGAGTGAAAAAACTCAAACGACACGGTGATCTACTTTCAAACAGTGTACGTGCTGTATTTTGTGGACCATCAAACTGTGGAAAAACGATTGCTCTGCTGTCTCTTATTGTACATCCAAACGGTTTGAGGTTTGAGAATATATATCTCTACTCAAAGTCTCTTAATCAACCAAAGTATCAGTTTTTGGAGACACTGCTTAAACAGATTGATGGTATTGGATTCTTCACATTCAGCAAACATGAGGCTGTAATCAAACCTGAAGATGCTAAGCCTAACTCCCTGATGATATTTGATGATGTTGCTTGTGAAAAACAAGATCACATCAAGGCTTTTTTCTGCATGGGTCGACACAAGGATGTTGATAGCTTTTATCTCTGTCAAACTTATACACGAATACCGAAACATCTGATTAGAGATAACGCAAACTTTCTCGTTCTGTTCCGTCAAGATGAAATGAATTTGAAGCATATTTATGATGATCATGTAAATACAGACATGTCGTATAACTCATTCAGAGATTTATGCTCAGCATGCTGGAATAAATATGGATTTGTAGTAATAGATAAAGACAGTGAGTTGAACAGTGGCAGATATCGAAAAGGATTCGACTGCTTCATTAGTATAAATTAAGGTACTTTAAAGTGTGATAGTCACACATGATCACTGTAGAATTTAACCTATGTGTGATAGTCACACATGATCGCTGTAGACTTTAACCTATCAACATGAAGCCTGAAGAAATTTCAAAGCAGAAAGATATTCTGCATCAGATATCTCAAGCCAGCGATGCTATCCGACGGAAGCACAAGATGTTGAAGTTGGGTAAAGATACAGCTGAAAAAGCCATGAAGGAAATGTTCAAGCCTATTGTCACTCCACTTCAGAGTATAGTTGAATCTTCAAAGCTTAAAAAAGAAAATATTAAAAAAGAAGAAAAGCCGCAGGTTGAAAAAGAAGAAGAAGAGGTTCAAGAACAAGAGATTAAAAAATCTTTATACGCTGACCCAACCACATACAACAGTTTAATGACCGATGATGAAAGTTTATCTAATAACACAGCATTTGCTATTACCCCACTACCATCAACAAGTACTCCAGCTCGTAAAAATCTCGTTCTCTCTAATTATTTACAACGTTTAAATTCAAAAAACAAAAATAATGATATGAGATATGGTGTACGCAGAAAACATGGTGAAATGTATATGGGTGATTCAAAAATTTCATTTGCAAATGATACAATAACTGTCAAATGGTAGTTGGGGTATAGACTCCTATGGTATGGAGTCTATACCCCAGTCCGAGCTATCTAATAATTTTTTCTCGCATATTCTATAAACTCACATTAAGAGGATCCTCTCCACAATCCTTTCTCAATCCTTTCCTACCAATTATCCTGTTACGTGAGTGTTGAAACGCTTCACGTAATAATTATCCGTAACTCCTATTCTTTCCCGCTTCACAGCATTATTTATATTTGTTAAAAATGCTAGCCGTAAGATGGACGGTGTGGCTTATAATGTATATAAAATAAGTGAAAGGAAATTTAGTATAGACAGGATAGCTCAAATGGTAGAGTAGCCGACATGTCTTCGGAAGGTTCTGGGTTCAAATCCCAGTCCGTTCGTATTCATTGAGAAAGGATTGTGGAGAGGATCATCTTAATGTGAGTGTATAGAATATGTGAGAAAAAATTATTAGATAGCTCGGACTGGGATTCGAACCCAGAACCTTTCGAAGACATGTCGGCTACTCTACTATTTGAGCTATCCGGTCTATACTAAATTTCCTTTCACTTATTCTATATACATTAAGCCACACCGTCCATCTTACGGCTAGCATTTTTAACAAATATAAATAATGCTGTGAAGTGGGAAAGAATAGAATCTACAGCCATTCACACGTTGACAGTCAAAGTGTTTACAACTATGAGCATCGATATATTCGGACGTCCACTGGACAATGACAAGTCAGGTCAACGAGGACCAGCTAGTAGAGGTTTCGATGTAACTTCTGATGGAAACTATAACATTGAGAATAAAAGACTGTGCAATCTCGGTAATCCTTCAAATGAACACGATGCTGCAACAGTGCAATTTGTACTGAGACATATATCTGAACTGGATAAAAGCATAGACAGTGAACAGAAATAGATTATTTCACATTTACACTCTGAAATAGTAATACTGAAAGCTACTATAATAAATTTGCAGACGACTATTGAGGACGTTAAAGCAGTAGTCTCCACTCATCAGAATAATATAAAATATCTCATTGAGAAACTCAATGGACGACAAAAAAGCAGTGATAGCTAAAGAGCTTCACAAACCAGCTCGCAGGAACTATAAACGTCGTCATGTTGACATCCGAGGTCTCGATGAGACTTGGCAAGCTGACTTGGTTGAGATGATTCCATATGCAACAGTCAATAAAGGATACAAGTATCTGCTTACAATCATAGATATATTTTCAAAATATGCCCGGGCGGTTCCAATTAAATCTAAAAGCGGTGCTGATGTCACTAGTGCTATGAAGTTGGTACTCCATTAAGGTTGCATTCCTAAAAATCTCCATGTTGATCAGGGTAAAGAGTTCTACAACAAAGAATTTAAAGACCTGATGAAGCAGCAAAAGATAAATCTTTACTCAACATTCAACAATCTCAAAGCATCTATATGTGAGCGTTTCAATAGAACACTCAAGAATAAAATGTGGCGAGAATTCACAACTCGTGGTAGTTACAAGTGGACTGATCTACTTGATAACTTGGTAAAGTCCTACAATAACACCAAGCATCGGACTATTAAAATGAAGCCTGCTGATGTAACTGCTGCTCAGGAAAAACAGCTGCTGGAAAACATATATCAACCACTGCAAGCCAAGTCACAACAGAAAAAGAAGAAGTTCAAAGTTGGAGACAAAGTCCGAATCAGCAAGTATAAAAATGTATTTGAGAAAGGCTACACACCAAACTGGACAACAGAGATTTTCACAATCAAGACAGTACAGAATACAACTCCAACAACTTATAAGCTAGTAGACTATCAAGATCAACCAATCGAAGGTGGATTTTACGAAGAGGAACTCAGCAAAGTCAAATATCCAGAGGTGTATCTTAATGAGAAAGTTATGAAAACACGAGGAAATAAATATTATGTAAAGTGGTTAGGTTTTGACAATAGTCATAACAGTTGGATTAATAAGTCAGATATGTAATTATAATAATAAATATTAATAAACATTAACCTTAAATCTAATTATTTACAAACTTAATCCTAAGTATCTACAAACTTAAATCTATTTTTTACATTTTCTGTCGTTTAGCTGCTGGTTCCGAATTGACATTCTTAAAACCCCATGGTAGGGTGTTTGTGGAGTTATCCAGCAGCTGGCGTTTATCATCATCCCAGCTCAGGGCAAGCTTACTTTCTTGTAGCACTGTCTTTACAACATGCTTATTGCTTTTAATTAAGTATTGATCCTTATGTACATTGACATGATCAATTAAGCAGTTTTTAAAATCATCAAAAGTGATTTTCCTCAGAGTTGATCCTTTAACTCCCTTTGCTCGCTTTTTAACCTCAGCTTCGTTATCATATAGTTTAAAGGCATACAATTTTGCTCTGAGACCCACGAACTCTGACATAATTCTGCCATTGTTCTCATCTTTCATGAGTCCCAGAACTTTTTTATTCTTCTGAGGAATATCGTATGCATTGTCGAGCGGGTAGTCAGAGGTATCAAACTTGTGAATATCACGTTTGATAATTTCATAAATATCAGGGACTCTAAAGTGATAAATAAGATTGTCTGTGTCGGTATAGAGCATTTTTGAATCATCATTAGAAAAAATCTTTTTCACATAATTATAATGAAAGTCATACATGAAAGTCTTAGACAAGTCAAGTATGCTGAAGCCAACGTAAATAGGTTTATTAAAATAAACGTTAACTTTATTCAACTCGACTATTACCAGATCTTCACCGAAAATGGTGAAGCTATGAAAGTTGGACTTGGAGATCAAACTTTTAGCACCATATCGACCTCGCCATTCACTAACCAGCTTGATATCTTTGTGCTTACGCACATTCTCCATAGTCTTGCCAAATACCGCGTTGTTCATCAGTTTGTAAAAATTCTTCTCAAACTCGTTGGTGGCTTTTTGTCGGCACTCAGTGTTCTTATCGATGTATGGTTTAAGCCATGCTGATTGAGCAAACTTTAAAACTCGATGAACTTTGACAAGCTTCATACCTAGTTGTAAGCACTGCTCTAAGTTTTTAAAATGAATGACATAGTTTTTCTTTGGACGCAGTGTTGTGGCTAGCTTAGATGTTTTGCCGTCTGGTGGTGTAAAATGCTCAGGGCACAATGGCATGTCTTTGTGTAACTCATGGAGATCTTCTGGATACTCCAAGTCTACCTCGAGAATGTACCCAGTAGATTCATTAGAAGTGAATATTGATGAAATATTTTCCTCACTGATGTTATTTTCCTATGTGAAAGAACCTTGGGGTAAAGGCATGCTCATTGCGCTTCCATACAAGTTATTTACATCTAGGTATAAGATGTAAGATTCATCTTCTTCAGGGTTAAATTCCTTACCCATGTAGCGGTTATTAGCTTGAGCATAGCGATTAGAACATTGTGATACTCCACCTCTAATACCCTTCTCAAAGAAGAGTATCATTTCAGGATCTAGTAATAGTTCGAGTTGGACTCCTGTGAGTTTAACCATTGCTGAAAAAGCTAGTCCAAGAGCAGTATAGTAGTGAAGAGCATCTAATTCATAAGTTTTGAAACAACTTGAACGGAAATTTTCAAAAATGTCTGCCAGTAACAAGACATCAGTTTTTAAATAGAGATCCGAGTATTCACCAAGAGTCTGTATGTTAAATTTATCCCAAACTTTCTGTGCAAACGTATAGTCGTCATCACTGATATGCTTGTCATTGAGTCGTGAGTAAAAGTCCTGTTTGTCGGGTAGTTTCGTCACATCTAATTTTTCCAATGAGTCTACATATTCATAGGGGAATATCCCTTTAGAAGTTACCAATTTTAATTCTTCAGGATCTGAATAAAACTGTCTTCTAATAATTTTGCTATCGTCAGTCAAGTAGGAAGAAAGTTTGTCTATACTAGACGCCATAAATCTAAATGAGTCGATAAAACGCAAGTGAATAGTTGTATCGTCTACAGTCTTGGTGAAAGCTATATATTTTTCTTTGTTGATAGGTAATATCTCAATTTTACCTTTAAAAACAGTTGTTACAGATTCTAAAAGGAAATGTGAATCATAACCGCTCAAATTGTGAAAAACTATTGGTATAATATGTGTCTGTTGAAAGTTCAAATTACAGGAGTTGTGAGCAGCTCTTCTAAATTTACCCGTAAAGTGACAATGATCTCTAACTTTCTTATCACTGGCAGAATTGAATGACTTACCACAAATATGACAATTCACTGCTTGATTGAAAGATCTTTGCTCCTCATTATTTAACTTTGGAAGAGGTAAAGGGTTTCTTAAAAGATTGCTAACTTGATGGCTTATAGTTTCAAGCTCTTGGACAAACCATTTTATACAATCAGGTGAAAGATTGATGTTAAATTTAGATAATGAATTGTCATAATTGCAGTGTAAGTAATAAGCAATGCTATGAGGAGTATGTTTTTGAATGTGTCTGTTTCCTGCTCGAGAACGCTTTCCAGATCTGCATAAACAACAAACGGAACAGGGTCTTTGAAAATATGATTTTTGAAAGATAGAATTTTGTTTTCTTGACTAGGAAGGCTCATTTTAACTTTATTATGTGAAAGACAATCAGTGTAATGCCTTTGGTAAGAACTTTCAAGTTTAAAATGACATAGACATAGATCACAAAAGAATAATTTTGTTTTTCCTTTTGTGATGCTACTTTTTACTAGACGTGACAGATTTTTAATGAATGCAAAATGAAATATCGGTCTATGGTTTTCAATACTATCATCGTCATCATTTAAAGTAATATTTGTTTCTATCATAAGTAAGTGAATAGTGTCTTTTTGACAGTCAAGATTTGAGCTTAGATATAGCGGTACAATTATGCTAGGATCTTTTTCATCATCTTCTTTAGCCTCTATACCGTACACATTGATTTTTAAATCATTAAGTTTTACAAACAATGGTATATCTTTAAGTTCTATAGGAAATTTTATACCTGTATGATCTAGAACTGAGCTGGGATATGGATATGATGATGTTACACAGCTGTTTGATGAAACTGGATATAAAGCTGCTACGACTGACCAAAGGAAACAGTAGTGGTCTTCATTCATTATATTTACAACAGCTTTCTTCTTCTGAATGTCTCTCGGAAGTCGCACAAACGTTGAGAGACCTGCTTGGAGCGGTGCATATCTCGATATGTTGATGCTGAGGTTGAGAATCTCAGTCAAACCCCATCCAGACTGATTCTCATTAAAATCCTCAATTTTTTTCAGCAGTTGATCTGTAACATTGTCTTGGAACCATTCATGCAGTTCTGTGTTAGCTAATATTGTAGAAGCCTTAGTTTGAAAAGACTTTGTTTCTACAACAACAGCATCATTTTTATGATTTTCAAATCTGCAGAGTAGCTGGGTGTAGACTTTTAAGCTACCATGCTCCTGCATTGATTGTTGGATCTTCTCTATAGCCATATTTTCAGCCTCTCTTAAAAAAGCTTTTAAATCGGTGTGTCTAAGATTGATTACACATCCAGTTTTAACACTATCCTGGAATGCACTTTCCATATCTTGCCATTTGATAGCTGCAACTTGATGTTGATGACCAAGGTCACCACCAACAACTCTATGGCTCAAGCTTATAAACTTTTCACCATAGGTGTTTAAAATGGCAATGTTTGACTGTACACATTGTCGCAGATGAACGTTTGAGGTGGGGTCCAGTAGTATTGTAGTGTAGTACTGGACATTGTTTTCACAAATTTGAAACCACCTCAAACTAGTCTCTTGAGAAACTTGATCAGCTTGCTCAAGGTTTTCATATGCGGTGATGACTGTTGCCACCAAGTTGTTGATGACTGTTTTCAAATCCATTTTGACTTGAAAGCACTGATTTGTTGGCTAGAGTCTTCTTAAGTAAAAACTTGTTCCTTGAAAGTTTTCTTACAAAGTTTTTCTTAAGTATAAACTTGAAAGTTTTCTTACAAAGTTTTCTTAAGGAGAAACTTGTTTCTTGACAGTTTTCTTACAAAGTTTTTCTTAAGTAGGAACTTGTTCTTGATAGTATCACTGAAGATTTAAGAATGAAAATGCTCACAGAATTACCCGTTTATATATTCTCACAAATTGCATCATTCTTTCTGATACCCCTTCCAGACCCACTGAGATGCCGCTACCACCACCACCACCTCGCGACAACCAATCAAATTTTAGTGCCATCTATGCAGCGCGCGCGATTCTCTCTGACGTCATAACCCCTTTCTCACCGCGAATCGTTTCTCCCACTACTCAGTAACAACCAATCGCGACCTTCCACGGCTAATATTATATAAACGTCGCGATTTCCCAGCGGTTCACTTCTCACCTTTTCTTCAACTTGGAAGCATCATGGAAATTATAATCGACGTTCAAGGATTTCAAGGTGAAACTTTCATAGTCAAGGAGCTGGCTTGGATTACCATTGACCAGGAGATTGAAGAAATATCAAGTACAGTCTTCAAGCCACCTTACTCGTGGAGCTCTCAATCATACCACTACCAGCGACTTAACAAAGCCATCATAGCTGCTTGTCATAAAATTTCCTGGAGTCAAGGACAAGTTGCTTATGACAAACTCAACCAAGTCATAGACAAAGCAACCGCTGACAAGCAGTTCATATATGTCAAGGGCTTAGAGAAAAAACGCTGGCTACAAAATATTATCAAGTCAAAGACAATTATTGACTTGGAGAACCTGGACTGTCCACCATTGAAAAAACGCCTGGATTATTACTGTAATTTCTGCAGTAACCATGAACAACATGCTGACTTGTACTGGTGTGCTTTAGAGAATGTTAAAAAATTAAAAGAATGGTTTGTTAAAAATTACTGCGGGAATCCATCGCTTGAAAAGTCCCTAAAATTATTTTGCAAGTTGAGTATTGAAGATATGAGACCTCAAGATATTGTCATGCTACCTAAAGATTTTATTATTGGATGTGCTGCTGACAAAATCAACAGTATCTGGTCAAAATTACCAACAGCTCTTCAAGAGGACAAGGACATCATGAAATACAGACGCTGTAATGAACATTATACAAGAACAGCTATCGAATATGATGAATTTTTTAATGATATTCCATTAGTAATTAAGTGTAAATTTTGTAGAAAACAATAAAACATAATTATTTTTAATTATCAGCTTTTAAATTATTTTTTAAATAAATTAATAATAGTTTAAATTTAAATACTTTTTTAAAATAAATTAATAATAATAATAGTTTAAATTTAAATACTTTTTTAAAATAAATTTATAATAATAATAGTTTAAATTTAAATAATTTTTTTAAAAATAAATTAATAATAATAATAATAATAGTTTAAATTTAAATATTTTTTAAATAAATTAGTAGTAATTAAAAATTTTTTTAATGAATTAGTAATAGTTTAAATTTAAATATTTTTTCAAATAAATTAATAATATTTTAATTTAAATATTTTAAATTTAGAGTTGATGTTAATAGCACAATTCTATTTACCAACATAGTCCAGTTACCATCATAGACAAATTCTAAGGTTCGTTAGAGGGCGTCTCGAATTGATTTATTTATTGACAAGTGATTTTTGTCGCGGGAGATTTTGAATTATATTCATCAAATATAGTTAATTTATTAGAAAAAATTAATAATTAATATTTGAAAAATTTTTATAAATAAAATATAATTACAAGAGTATTTAAAAAAAAAAATTTTTTTTTTAATGAAAAAAAAATACAAGTAATTTTTAAATTTTAATTTTTTCCCAGTTTTTTCAACATTAAATGAATAATAAAATTATTTAAAAGCAATGTCATCTCATTTTGATGATTGATATTTATTATTTAATAAATTCTTAATAATTATTGATAATTATTTCAAAAATTTAGTGCCAACTGTTATATTTTTTTAACCAACACAACCAAGCATGGACTGGCGACAGCACGCCGGTTTGTTTACAAGAGCCGCCATGTTGCTGTCTCTGTCACTACCATGAGACTTTGTATTCTCCGTCTCCACCCAAAGCTTGGGTGTCGCGGGTGTCGCGTTTTCCGTTTTCGGAAATGTTATAGTTTTTTTGAGAAGAACGATGGCAACCATAGAACAGGTCTGGACATGCTGTTAAACGGTCATTATTATCAGACATTTTAGAAAACAGCGAGTGTGACATGTGAGTACTTAGTTAATTATAATAATGATTAAATAATTAAATAAATCAAGTTAATTAATCAATTAAATGATGTGATAAATTCAATTAAGATAAATAAATAAATTAAAATTGAAAAATAATAATAATGAATTAAATAAAAGTGATGTGATGAGTTTGTTAAGACAAAAATTAAAATTAGCTGAATAAATAATAATAAATGAATTGATGACATCAATTATAATAGATATAAATAAATAAATCTAAATAAATAAATAAATAAAATTGAAAAAAATAAATAAATTAACTAAAGAGATAAATTAAATAAAAGTTTAAATCTAAATGATCTGGTGAGTTTGTTAAGACAAAAAAATTAAAATTAAAATAAACTAATAAATAAATAAATACATAAAATTGAGAAAAAATAAATTAAATAAAAAGATAAATTAAATTAAAGTATCAGTGATGTGATAAGTTGACTACAAAAAAAAATAGCTAAATAAATAAAAAGTTGATGACATCAATTAATTAATTAATTAATTATAATAGATATAAATGAATAAAAATTGAGAAATAAATTAAAGAAAAATTGAATTGAATTGAGATAAATTGAGATGCTGAAAAAAATAATAATAAATTTGCATGCTGAAAAATTGTAAAATAAGTTGATAAATTTTTGAAAGAAAAATAATCAATCAAATTTAAATAAATAAATAATTTCTTATGATATTAAAACAATTTTTTTTTTTCATAGTTTCAAGAAAATGAATCAACCTCAGAGGATATTGATTGATCGATATATTGATTTTGCTATAATCATACCAATGCGTTGGTATGATTACTCCAACTGGGATTCAGAGGAACTAATAGATCGTATACGATGTGAGTTAATAACTGTTGTGATTCAAAGGAGAATCTTTCAACAACCAATCATTTCCATCGCTCGTTTGAGTGCTGAATTAACCGTAGATGTAGCAACTCAAGCATGGTGGTTTACAGTATCAAGAGATGATGTTCAAAATCAAACGTATTTCACTATTGATAATGGTGCTCGAAGAATTTTTTTTTGCATGGAGGATTCCATTGTTGATTGGTAGAATCGCATTGATTATAATTTAGCACAGATTGAGAGGGAGCAGCGACGTCGGAGACAACAACGACGAAGGTTGCGGCGGCGGCGGCGGCGGCGGCGGCGGCGGCGGCGGCGGCGGCGGCGGACAACAACAACAACAACAACAACAACAACAACAACAACAACAACAACAACAACTATATATATAAATAAATATCTGATTAGATTCTTAAGTACAAGAAGGTCCTGGGTTAACGTCCCGTTTGCGAATTGGCCAGATTTTTTAAAAACTGGTTTCCCAGATACTAAAGTTAATTTTAAAAATAAAATAAAGAAAATTATTTAAGTATAAATAAATGTACCTCCTATCTCTTGAGCGTTCATTCTCACTTATAATTACCTTCACGCTGACATAAATAAAGAAACGACATCGAGTGAGATAACGCGTGTTAAGATATTCGTTGTGTGGGCCTTTGGGTTTCAACTCAACTCTTGTATTCATACAATATTGTAAGTATGTATTATATTGCTGGATATAATACAAAACTATTCGTACATATAATACATAAATGAGATAGGAGCCAGTTTAGTGTCTATACACTGATAGAAGGATTTGTTTATTTTCAATAAGCTTTATTAATTGTTAATAAATAATTTTTTAACATTATAGGATTCAATAAATATTTATTAATAATTAATATAATTATTTATTAAATACGATTTATTAAATGTTAATAATTATTTGTTAATTTATTAAAATATTTATTGATGGTTAATGAATATTTGTTAATTGTTAATAAATATTTATTTAAAATAAAAAGCAAAAATAGCAATTTTCTTTTGACACTTTTTATAACTCTACAGCTGGAATATATGATAATAATTAAATTCACTAAATAAATTAACCTTTTTAATATTTAAAAATATAAAAGATAATTATGAGCTGTGATAAAATTTAGTATTTTACAATAAACGTTATTATAATGTAATATAATTAATGCAAATAATTTATGAAGATAATTTTTGTTGAAAATATTTATTGAATGTTAAAAAATATTTATTAAAATTTTAAAAATTAAATAATTGTCTTCAAATAAATTCAATTATTAATAGTTAATAAATTAACTCCTCTATCAATGTACTGAAGAAAGAGCTCGAGTGAAAGAGAGAGCAGAGAATCGGTTATTAGCACCTGAAATAAAATAAATGTTTAACCATTTATATACATGTATTGACCACCATTGTAAAATAAGTAATTTCCTGCAGAGCTCGTGTCCAAGTTAAGTGTGATCGGTACAAACTCACACCTTGGGTATTTATAAATATAAACAGACATTAAATGCCTGAAGAGATATAATATCAACGCTGTAATGATAATGAAAATAAATAATTGTAATAAATAAATCGTTAAATTTAAAAGGCTTTTTTTGGGCTAATCGATAGGACCAGATATACCGAGAATATTCTTGACTCCTATCCCATCGATGCCGTGGACGTTAAAAGCGTCGTAAAAGTTAATCGAGTAAGCGGTTTTTGCCGAGTGTAGTGTAGTGAGGCACACCTGGATCTTCTCTTCTCTCCCTAGGCTGGATTTGTCGCGTTTTCAATACACAGCCACAAAACACCTTTCGTCTTTGTCTTTTCCTCTTTCTTTCTCTTGTTATCCTTATTCTGGATCCTTTCTTCTTCTCTTCTTGTATTCGCCTGACGGCTAACTCTTAAGTCTTAGAGTTTATTTTTTATTTATTTCTTAAACCATCATCATCATCATCATCATCCTCGTCACGGAATGCTCGTTTAAATCGTTAAAAAATTTAGCTACTGGTACAGATCATATCTAAAAGCCATCTCTTTATCGATCTCGTTAACGATATATTTTAAAACTGCGACAACTATACAACAAGAATATCCCGTCGTGAGGTGATTTATCGTTCCATCCTCAGTCGACGACATATTATTCGTAATGAGCTGATTGTCATTTGCACAAATGATTAATCGATCTTCATCATTTAGGTTTATACATACCTAAATTTTTTTTTTTTATAATAGATATTTAAAGCTAAAGACCTACTACTAAAATGATTAAGAGTGTACGGTTGATTTTCACCACTTTAAACATCATTAAATTTAAATTTAATAATACATGGTTCATTTACGGACTATAAAAATTTATAATTTAAAAAAATGACTACTCATCACTCATAAAAATTTTAAATCAAAAAATAATTTATAAAATTAATCTTGAAATTTTTTTAAAAATTAAAACTTAAATTTTAATATTTGATCAAGATTTTTAGATACTTTAGGGAAGTAGCGTCACTTATTTCAGCTGAGAAAAAAATTTTCTCACCTTGAAAAAATTTTTCTCTTGAATATTTGATACCCATTTTATATTATTTTAGCGTGCAATTATATATATTGAATGAAAAAAAATGATACAATATTATTTGATCTCATTTGACATGTTAATCAATAAAAATATTAATGAAAATTTACTTCTATCTTTATATTTAATTTTTTGGAGCAAGAG